CTCTTCTCGAAATACGCGATTTTGAAAGCTATTATTAATCAAATCACGTAAGACCTTCTTTTAAAAAGAGCTAGTACTTGGTTCTATACGTCACGTGAAAAAATTTTTTTTTTTATAAAAGAAATCAAATAAAAAAAAGGTTACGATATCTTTTATATCTTCATAATAGCGAGTCTTTCGAAATAATAAATAAAATAAAGAATTATTAATAGAATCAAGAACGGTTTTCTAAATCTGCTTCCAAATTTAATAATAATATTATATTAAACTTTTAAAGTAATAGATTTTTTATTGAAAAACTAAAAAAGCTTTCGTATATATATAGAAATATATATTACGTTATTATACGATTCTTTTAATAGAATTCTTTAAAATGTAAAAAAATCGTAATCCTTTTCCATTTTTCATAATATAAATTGAAAACCTTATAATTTTAAATAAATTTTTCATACGGTAAAATTTTAATGTTCTTCGAAATATTAAGCTTTTTACTAACTTAGCTAATTCAAAGTAAGCATATAAGCTGCTCCATAAGGTGAGGGCCCCATAAGGTTTTCCTCCCCATTCCCCCCATAAGGTCTTAGCCGATAAAGGACTTTTTTTTTTAAACCTTATAAAAAGGATTTTTTTTAAGTCAAATTCCTTACGAAAGATAAGGAAACCTTATAAGTTTAAAGTAAGACAGCTAAAAATAATATATATGAAGCCGTTAAAAATAAAACAAATTTACGAATATTTATTAATTTTACTTAATTATTATATTTATTTATTATATTTATTAATCACATATATTATATTTTATAATTACATTACATTATATTATAATAAATTAAAATTATTAAATAAAACTTCTAGTCATGATTTCCCGCAATTTCTTAATTAACGTTATATCTTTGTTTTAAATCGTTATTCGTTTAGCGTAAATAGCACATAAGTTCGTTATTAAAAGTGATTAGTAAATCGATTAATAAATAAATATATAAGTACTTACTTTCAAACTCTCTTACGAAGAATGCTTTTAAAGCTTCTTATAAACATTTTAAAGCACCGCTTTGAAATTTAAAGTTTTGTTTAAAATCGTAAGTGATCTCTCGAATAAAACGCTAAAAAAGAGTCTTTTTAATAAGAAGCTCGATGCTTTTTTAATATCGTCGGATCTTTTTTAACGCAATAGTTATATAAATCAGTAATTATACTTGAGAATCAATTTATTAATTGATTAAACTTACTTTCTAGCTTATAACGACGACGCTTTCGTTAGCTTAAACCTTTTTTTTTCGTAATAATTGCAAACTTCTTAAGATACTTGCTTTTTTTAAATTTTTAACGAAAAAAAGTTTTAGCTGCTGAAAGTAATTTGCTAGTTGATAAAACGAAGCGAGCAGCTCTAGCCGTCGAAAGTGATTTTTTAGCTCTTTTATATTAAGAAAAAGGAATATCATTTTCATTTAAGTTTTTTTTATTATCGCTTTGCTTTTCTTTATTTGTATCATTATAAAGCATCGTCTTCGTCGCGGTTTTTGTAGCTATAGTTAAGCCCGGGATAATAAAAGACCTTTTAAAAGCTTTTTGCGCGAAAGCTTTTTTAATGCGATTGCTAGTAAAAGCAAAAAAAGGTTTAGCAATTGCAGAAAAATTGTTTTTAACACTTAAGTCGTAAAACGGATCTTCGTTTTAAAGCTAAGCTAATACACTCGCTTAACTCGTCGATTATTGTATTGCTTTTAAAGCAGTTTTAAAACAATTAACGAACGAAAGAAAAAAGTTTAAAAAGATTAAACTTATTAAAAGCTATTAGTACTTATGCTAGTATTATTAAAAACGATGCTTTTGTTTATTTCGGATTGAATAGCCGAAGTAAATTTAATTGCGTTTGCTAAAGAAAAATTTAATTAATAAATATTTATTAATTATAAATTAAAAACATTACCGAATCGAAGTCTAAGAGATGATAAGTGCTAGTTTGTATTTGCGCGAAAGTTTGTTAATATTTAAAAAGCGTTACTTAAAATAATAAAAATTAATAATTATTAATTAATAAAGTAATTAATACTTATTAGCTTGACCTTAAGAAATTCAGCGAAAAAAGGACGAAGATAAATCGGTTTTTTATTATAGACTTGCAATACCGCGCAAGGTTTTAAGAATTTTTATAATTGCTTATCAATTATTTGCAATTGATTTATTAATTAATTTATTAATTAAATATTAATCGGATAGCTATTAAGTTATAATAGCGCGGCGCTTAATAAAAGTAGAGTTAAAAATTTTTATAAATGCTTATTAGCTATTTGCAATTGATTTATTAATCAATTTACTAATCAAATACTAACCGAATAGCTATCGAGTTATAATAGCGCGGCGCTTAGCAAAAGTAAAGTTTAACGCATCCGTAATTAATTAAGCTTTGCTAAACTAAAAATAAAGATTTGCGCTAAGCAAAGTAATTGAAAAAGTATTAATAGTACTTCGATTAATTAAATATAAACTTACTTTATTTACTTTGCAAATTTAAGTTTTCTTTTTTTACGCTTTCGCCGCGTATTCTATTTGCTTTACTTTCTTATGCTTCGTTCTTATCTGCTTGACCTTTAGCCGCCTGACCTTTAGCCGCTTGACCTTTAGCCGCTTGACCCTTAGCCGCTTAACCTTCAGCCGCTTAACCTTTAATCGCTTGATTTTTAATTGCTTTATTAATTAATTTATTTTAGCTTGCGTTATCTTTTTTAGCCGTAATGCTTAATATATCGATAGAAAAAGGTCGGTCCGAAAGCAAAGGTTCGTTTGATAAAAAAGTTATTTAAAAGTATTAGTAAAAGAACTTGATCGCGATAATTTAATTTACGATTAATAAATTGATAATTTTAAATAAGAAAAAGACGACCTTATAAAGCAATGAATAGCGTTGTATTTAAAAGCGTAGCAAATAAAAAAGCGATAATTGTAATTAATTATTAAGTAATAATAAAAAGAAATCAGACTTTACTTTATAAAGTAAAAATTGCGCGAAGCGGCCGCTTTATCTTAACTGCGACCGCCTTATCTTAATTGCGGCTGCTTTATCACCTCGTGAATTTATTAACGGCCGCGCTAAAATGTTTTAAAAATAAAATGTACGAGTTTACTTTTAACTTTAACACTTTTATTTTATTACCTTTAATTTTACTTTAAATAATTACTCTTAACGTTTAGCTTTTTTATAATACTATTTAATATAGCCGCTTATTAGCTTGATTCGATAGAAAGTATTATTGCAAATATAAATCAGCTTGATTTAATAAAAAGGATTGAAAAATCTATAATAAAAATTATTTTTTTATTTATTAATCTATTTATTAATTAAAAACGTCTTTTTTAAAATGCGGCCGATACGACGGCAATCGTAGCGGCAAGCAATCCGGTGCTAAGAAACCTTGGCAAGCGTAAAGTAAGTATCTTTTTTACGTAGTATTTTAACTTTTATTAATTTATTAATTTTTCTTAAAAAAAAAGGCTAAAGAGAAGCTAATTATCAACTAATCTTTATACGATAAAAGCTAATATTCGTACAGCAAAGCTGAAACAAAATCTTTAAGCAAATGAGCTTCGAAAAGCTAAAAGACGAGATTAAGCGGCCGTTAATCAGCTTTTTACAATTTAAAAACAAACTTTAAAATATTCTTAAGCATTAAAAGCTGAAAAGAAAACTCGATAAGCCGAAATGCAAAAGAATCTTATAAATGAACGGTACTTTTTTTTTCTTTAATTTATTAAGCAATTTACTAATCGATTTTAAAAAAAATCGAAGCATCTACGCGAATAATCTTGCTATGCAAGCCGCTTCTTTTACAATTAGATTTAATAATAGAAAATACTTAAATAGCGATTAAGTTGATAAAGCATTTAATTTAAACGAAAAGGTTTATAAAGAATTTAATTTGCGAAAAAACGAAAAAAAAAATAATAATATACTTCGCGATAGATACGTTTCGATTACCGATAAAAAGATAGAAAAAGTCACTCGGCAATTAACACGTCAACACGCATAAGTAAGCTTTTATTTTATTTAAATATTTATATTTTGCTAATAATATAAAGTTACGCTATATAATAACCGTTTAGCAATTTCGTCGCTATTAGCAAAGTATAGCGCGGTCTTTATTA